AGTACTAAGCCTTAAATTTATTTGTTTTTAACTGTGCTATCATGTTTTTAACATGGTTTTAAACAGGTTTTAAACAACCTTCTTATCCAACAGTTTTACTAGAATATTCAAACCAAAACACACCTAAACTTTCCTCTTATTTCTACATAAAAAAAAAACCTAAGCAGGATTCATGCTTTGTAGCAATCATGATATGAATAATTAGAGAATTATATACATGAAGTACCTAGAGAATCAAAAGAATATTTCTAACTGAGTTGTCATCTGAACACAACACTGATTATCTCAACTACTTCAGCAAGGTTTCTAGACATATCAGTAAGAACTTCGCCTAGAAGTATGTTTTGAGTGTATTTAGTGGCAGAGGCACAACTTCAGAGGCAGCTACTTGTGGTAATATTACAAGTGTTGAAGTTTTAGGCACAGAAGAACCTTCCATACAGTGACAGATTACACAACAAAACTTAAAAGAAGAAGATAACATGAAGCAGTTAAACAACTATTTTTAAGGCTTAAAGTAGTCGACAAGACTGTGAGTAACGAGAGCAGCTTGAATCATGCCACCCACCTGTCTGGTAGTAGGACTCAGCCACTGAGGGCTGTGGCTGGGCAGCAGCAGCCACGGCCGCCGCCGTCGCGGTTGGCTGCTGATAATATTGTTTGCTGTCGTATGCCACAGCTGGGGCGGTGGATCGAACGTAAGAGTAGGAATCCTAAGGATTCAAAACAGAGAAATCAGCTGTAGGTACATCGCTAGAGCAATAAAAATGATTAGCAGAGTAAAATTAACAATGTTGTCTTCTGGCCTACTCAAGTAGAATAAAAACTCCCCATCTACACATACAGTATATGCATTAGAGAAATTAAATTTACTTTCATAGATACTTCAGGCCTGAAACAGCCCTAACTGCCTTTTGCAGATTCAATACTGGAATTATCCTCATGTTATTAAACCCTTTCTCTACCAAATTATTTTTGAAAAGCATCTACTCTCAATAGTTTTTAATGACTGTATCAGATTCTCTTTCTGTAAAATATTAAGAAAAAATCCACAGAAATCTCTACAAAACATGAATTTCTACAAGTCCAAATAAATTCTCAGGGGTAGAAACATGAGCCTGTAGTGGCTTTAAAAATCTCATTATTAACATTTTTCTTGGTTATATTTTTCAGAGTATGAAACTGGTACTTTCAAAGCTTTCTTTACTTTTTGGTGTGTCAACTAGTTCATTCGTGAACCGTAACTAGTCTTCAAAGGCAATGCAAGTAGCTCTTTTGATACCTTTTCAACTCAGTAGATCTCTAATAAGCTTAGAAGAGGATGACCTGGAAGCCATTACATGCATGTACATACATTCTCTCATCCTCACCATGTTTATGGTAAAGCACAAAGAGTTGATCAACTGAGGGGGAACTAGGTATGAACTGCTAGAGCTGAAATACACTAATGTATTAAAATTCTTTTTAATTCCAAGAAATACAACAACAAAATCTTTTTTTGTCCAACCTGTGTAAACAGGAATTATTTTATTTAGTTTAGGGGACTCTCTTTTTTTTCAAATGTATCAGATAAATGACCTCATAATATATAACGAATTACAGAAACTATACAAAATAATTGAGACCATGAAGCAATAATATAGTCCTTTCAAACAAACCAAAATGCTAATTAGAATCTAGATAATGCGCTGATAAGTTCAGAATTAAAATTGCAAGAAACACATTATTTCAAGATGAAAGAGAGCAAAAGCCCTTTTGCAAGAGCCTGTATCCACAAACAGCTAGGCAGGGATCTCAGAAGAGGATATCCAAAAACTACCTACAGGGTAGTTTACCTCCTAGGGCAATCTTCTGTCCTCACAGGCTTGGTACTTGACTCCAGCAGCACCCAGAAATCTGACAAAGGAACTATTTCTACCTCTACTGAAAATTTTTACTGGAACAGTCTTTTGAGTAAAATGGCCCAGTTTACTGCACACCAAGCCAAGGTCTAAGCTAATGGAAGACACTGCATTTGTTTACAGCAGCAGTTGCACAAAATCACATTTGCTTTTCTAAACAGGCTTCCTCCCCTCAAAGCACCTTTTAAAAACCACACAGCAGGATCCTACCTGGTAATTCTGCGTGGTGACAGGAGGTGGTGGTGGTGGAGCTTCTTGTTGCCGCTGTGTGTAGCCGTAGTCTGTAGCTGTGTGTGCTGTGGGATACCCGCTGTAGGCGGCAGCTGTGGCAGCAGCTGCCACAGCCACCGGGGCAGGCCTGGCCACCGCCACTGTGGCTGCAGCCGGGGCATAGGCTGCAGTGACCGTGTGCGCCGCCACCGGGGCCTGGTGGACTGTGTAGCTGGCAACTGTGGTTGGATGGGAGTAGGCTACACCCGAAGCTGGCTGCTGGCTGTATTGGCAGAACACAGTAAGTAATTAATCCAACGTACAAAGATAATGCCTACACATTTCAAAATCCCAGATTTGATTAATACTTTGCCTGCTCTACAGACAGATCTGTAGCAGCCTTCTATCTGTGCATACTCTTATTTAATGGCTTTTATTAACCATCTTCCATCCCCATGAAAAAGGCTGCATCATTCTTAAATTTCTGTGGATACTCACACAGAACACAATCACAGAATGTTAATGCACAGGAAGGGACATTAAAGACCATCAGTCCAGACCTCCACGCCAACACCTACTCAACCAGATCGCTCAAGGCCAATGCTGCCAGGGTTGGGACACCCAGAACCTCCCTGGGCAACCTGTTCCAGCTGTCTTGCCATTTTCAGAGTAAGGAATGTCTTCCCAACACTTAACCTAAATGTCCCTTCTTTCAATTTGTATGCATTACTCCGTGTTCTATCTCCACAGTTCCTGATATTTCATGCAGATGATTATATACTTCATAATGGGGAGTGTTTGTGTTGAGTTTCCTCTAAGCAGTGGAACACAAGTCTTTAATTCAAAATAATGCAGCAGTCCCAAACTGTTAACTTTCCCAGACTGGCAAGTTTTAAATGCTTTAGTCGGTCTTCAGTAAAGTGACACAACTGTCAAATTAAGAAAAATGCTACTTTTGTGTGAGAGCTTATTTACTGACCTGTACTAGCATGAAGTTTTCATTTCACCATATTCAAGCAATTACATTTTTAAGATGGCCATGAAAATCAGCTCGGAACTGTTGTAATTATTTAAACACACATATCTGATAGAGGACTTCTCCAATGGATGGTCAGAATTTTAGAAGCTGACCGCACTTGCTCAAGCAGAAGTCCACTGACAAACCAAAAGCATCAAAAGTGCAGACAATTACAACAAGCAAGAAAACCACTACCAGAGTTCTGGCAATCTTCCAGGCACATGCTGAGACTAATCTGCCTCTATAAAATTTGCAGGTAGGATGCTAATACGTGGCAATTTACTAAAAATCCACAAATACGAACAGCATAAATAAAAATTGATTGCTTCAAAGGTTTAATTACTTGAACAGAAACTAGAATTATTGTCCTGTAACTGCATGATATTGTCCTATGATGATGTATAACTGTGGATTATGATTAGAAGCTTGGAATAGTTATTTTGATTTTTAAACAAAGTGAAACAGGTAAAATATCACTAATCTGGAACAATGACATCAAGTGGGGATTCAGTGATAATTCTGATTATTTTTGTACATTTCCTACACTGCTGTTCAATAATAGCTATAAATATATACTTTTAATTTCACATAAGACACTTCCACAACTCCGTTGTGTTCAGTAATTTTTTCTTACTTGTTTTTAGAAAACCTGATTTTGTAACTTCAATTACAGTAGAACCCACTTACTTCAATAAATTAAAAAACCACCGACATGCAGCTCCCTCCCCCAACCCTAAACCATTCTCACAGCAGAAACAGAGAAAATTTTACTACTGATAGACTTATATGCCTGGATTCCACCATCTTCCCATCACATGTCCCTCACTGCTTAAAAGACTACTTGCATTCTATCAAATTTTACTTCAGTGTGAGTTGTACATACAATAATGTTTTATGTTATTTTCAATTATTAGCCTAAGAACAAAATGAAAATACCTAAACCACTTTGATGAACCTCACATTGCTGCTTGCAATTCCTCCTCCCTGATGTTCACAGGAAAATTCTGTTTACTTAACATGACAAACTGGACTCCATCACAAAATTCAGGAAGACTCTTTTATGGTGGTAGAAGTGAATGACAGTCTATAAAATTAGGAGTCATTATCTACATAACTAACAGTACAGAAGTGTAAAATAGTCACAAAATCTGAGGTAGTTATCATGGCCATATATATCTACTAAAATCACATTAAACTGAGTAAACAGACAGCAGACTGCTTAACTGATGATAGTTGAACACATCAACAGTCTAATACTGCCAACAAGGTAAAACTTGCTTCACACTTTTCCCACTCTTCGGCTTCCCTTCTCCCAAACATCAATCCTGGCTAAGCCAGATCTTATTCCATCCCTGATGCTAATTCTGCTACTTGTCAAAGCATTCAGTGCACTGATGTAACTCATTAATCTAGCAGAAAACAATGTGAGGGTTTCCTGTTGGGGTGATATTCTAGTGTGGCAGAAATGTTAAAAAAACAACAGCTTACAAAATAGGTCTGCTGAGGGTCAGAACCCATATTAATTTTATATATATATATGTACATGGCAATGGAGCAAAAAAGGGAAAAAAGACTTGTGCAGAAGCCCTAGCATGGCTTTTCCCCATTTCATGAAACTGTTACTGTTAAAAAATAAGATACAGTGCTCACAACACACTACATAGTAACAGTACCAGTCAGTTAAGCAAAGAAAATGCTTTTGTTCTCAGAATATGTATGATTAAAGATATCTGATAGTCTTCAGTATTTAAAATTGTGAAAAAATTACAAAAGAATTCAGTATTTAAAACTGTGAAAAGATTACCAGCAGAACTATTAACAAGATTATGGTACAGACAACTTCATTTCTTGCACAACCAAGCAGCAAAATTCCTTATCATGGCATAAAATTAACAGCCTAAGTAATTAAGATTTCTAAGGCTAATACAGGTCCTATGACCATGTTTATTTTAGCAAACATGTTCACCTTGCTTCTGCAACATCATGCAGAGCTAGTGATTGAGTTTGCAAGACTGCAAGAAAAATATTCTAGAACTGACTTCTTCCTTTCTAAAAGTTGTGTTACATTATGTAACAGAAATTAATGGTGACATCTCCTCTAAATTTGTGACATTATTATCTTCTATGGTCTTACTGAAAACCTTTAATATTAAGATGAGCAGACTTATGTTTTAATGTAATTAGTTTACTAAAAATATCCCTGCGCCAACTTCTTTAACTAACTGGCAAGTGTTCTTATCCTGGTTTGGTGATTAGTGCCTTATCATGTTTGCTGAGATGAATTTAGCTCCTCCTAGATTATTTTGCCAAACTCCGTATTCTGCTCTTCCTTCATCTGTGCACCTATCTTAATATTATCGGTTTTCTTTTGACTACACATGGCAAGAACCTCATGCATCATTTCATATTAAGTTTCAGCTGTGCCACCCACTCTACTCCAGACAACTGCTTTCTTTCCCAGCAGTCTAGCTTCCTCAGAGCAGATTTTTGTGGAGTTACCTGTGTACTGACTCTATTTTCCTCACATCAAATAGCACAATATGCCACACGAGTAAAAATACTAAAGTAACAACCTATCCCTAGTGAACTCCACTGCAATTACTGCTGCAATTACTGCTATTTGATACTAATAACTTCTACCAGCTCCTTCTCTACAATTCTTTTACTAATCCCTACCTTAAGTAATAATTTTTCATACTGCACCACATCAAGTATTTCTTCTTAGTCTTGATAAATAAGTCTCCAAAAGATCTAGGCACATCATCAAAACCACATGCATACTCTTCACCACATCCCTCAACACCACGGGGAAAAGCTGACCTTATACAATTTACTCTGTATGTTCTATGAGTTAAGAATACTTCAGTAGGTATCAACCACTGCAGAGAAAGAAGCTAACTCACTGATGCAGCCACTTCTCTTTGTACATCAGTTCTTTTCTTCTCCAAAATAAATTCTAATATCCCTTATTAGCATTTTTGAGTCCAAGCTCTCTTCCAAATACACTTGATTCAGTTTGCTTTACTAACCTGCAGGAGTTTAAAACTCACAGAATAATTTAGGTTTAAACAAGGATTTGGAAGTCACCTGTCCTTATCCCATGCTCAAAACACAGCTTATTTCAAAACTGGAAGTTTCTCAGGGCCTTATCTGGTCATAGGCTGATCACCTCCAAGAATGGAGACTGCAAGGCTGCTCTAGACAACCTGTTCCAGTGTGTCATGGTTTAACCCCAGCTGGCAACTCAGCCCCACACAGCCACTAGCTCATTCCCCCACAGTGGACGCAGGGAGAGAACTGGAAGAGTAAAAGTGAAAAAGCATGTGGGTTGAGACAGACAGTTTAATATGAAAGACAAAGGCCACACACACAAGCAAAACAAAACAAGGGTTCAGATAGCATGGATTAATGGGCCAAAACTAATCATATGAGGCACAACAAGGCCATGTGCCGGGTCCAGTCCTTAGATCACAACAACCCCAGGCTACATTACAGACTTGGGGAAGAATGGTTGGAAAGCTGCCAATTGGGAAAGGACCTGGGGGTACTGGTCAACAGCAGCTGAACATGAGCATGGAAACATTAGTTTGCCAGTGTGTGCCCAGGTGGCTAAGAAGACCAATGGAATCCTGGCCTGTATCAGCAATGGTGTGGCCAGCAGGACCAGGGCAGTGATTTTTCTTCTGTACTCAGGCACCAGTGAGGCCACAACTTGAATCCTGTGTTCAGCTCTGGGCCCCACACAAAACACTGGGGTGTGGCATTATACCCAGAAAAGAGGAAGGTGTTCAGCCATCTCAGGAAAGCCAGGTTCCACCACAGAAAAACAGTTACTTGGGAAGACAAATACCATCACTCTGAACATCATCTCCTTCCTCCCTCCCTCTCCCTCCAGTTTTATCATTGAGACTGATGCTAGGTAGTATGAAACGTCCCTTTGGTCAGTTGGGGTCAGCTGTCTTGGTTATGTCCCTTTCCAACTTCTTGTGCACCACCATGACCCTCACTGGTGGATGGGGTGAGGAGCAGAAAAGGCCTTGACTCTCTGTGGACACTGCTCAGCAATAATGAACATAACCCTGTATTATCAACACTGTTTTCAGCACAAATCCAAAACACAGCCTAATATCAACTACTAAGAAGAAAATTAACTCCACCCCAACCAAAACCAGCACATGATGTTTGAGCATCCTGTCAAGAATTTTTCCCTTAGACTATGAAAGCTCCAGTTTCAAAAGCAAATGAGCTCTAGACCAACACCTACAAAGGCAGATCTTCTAACCACTCAATTCAATGCAACTTTATATAACAATTCTTGTGGAGTGTTTAAATTCACTTTCAGAATAAATCATTCTTTAATTTAGGAAGCTGTGAGTAGCTTCCAATTGTATTCTGCTGTACTACTATTATACCACATCTTCCACAAGAAATTTTCATTCAAAAACAATGTATTTTACTAACAGACCTATTTCTTTAGGTCTTTCTGATTGTAATAGAACTAATGCTTCCCTACAAAGCTGACTTAATTTCTGTTTTCTTGGAACAATACACTGTTCCATGCTCATCTTCCTGTTCAGGTGTCTGTCACTACATTTCACTATCCCATCCAGAGTCAGTTTGCAAGGCATACGCAATTGCTCTGCTCCAGATTCTGCAGGCATGTATTTCAATCAACTACAGAATGTCATTTGCAGGACCTTACCTAAAGTGTTTTGACCCTCCTTACCTGTTTTTAAACTTCCACATCTACAATACTTCCTCATCCTCTTTATTTCCTCTTCCCAAACAAGGTAACCTCTATTCAGTAGTTTTATACCACTGTGTATACTTAACTTGTCCTCATTTTTCACATTCTAACTGAATAACTCCAAGAAAATGAGAGGTTAATTCTTTACTAGGAATATTGTACTACTGTGTACAAGTATTTTTTGTAAAACACCTTTGACTCACTTATTTGAATAACATCTATTATAATTTCTACTGACACTAACAATGTGTCAGTACCAATCTTTCTGTTGCATTAGTGTCAGCACAACTTTTAAAATACCACTATGATATTAAAACTGCTAGATAAGACTGATTGCAGTGAGCTGTGACGATGTATGTTTCTCCACAGTATTCCATGATAATCTGATTTTCTAGGGGTGGTGGTGAGGGGCCATTCTGTCTCTCAATCTTGCATAATTCACCCCAGAGCAAAGGCCAAAGCAAAAACTGGCCTTATCCACATTGCTGTCTTGTGCACAAGCTCCTTTCATCAAATGCAAGTATCTTTCCCCACAGCAGGTGCACATTTTGCCCTGATACTTTTTAAGTGGGATATAAGAGTAATACACTGGCTGTTTGCATGGTATCGACATTGGACCCCATTGTGTAAACCCAGAACGGTCATTCTGAAATAAGAAAAGTACTTTAAAATACTGTTTTGTTTGCAAACTCTCCATTGTGATCAGTGAGGCACCAAATAATTGCGAAGATCTCCCTGCGGAATTCTACAGCACAAAATCAAATAAGCTACAGCACAGATTTACAAAACCCGGCGTAATTCTAGGTAGATACTTAGCCTGGAAACCTCTACCCTTTGGCCAACTTGTATTAAAACATCAGCAACGAAACGTCTACACCCTGAGAACAAGCTCTCAAAACAGAAGGTGTTGGCGTACAATACTCTCTATTTCCTACTAAAATAACTAGATTATTTTCATAATTCTGTTATATAAGATAACTTCTATTTCTCTTGTCAAAAAGCAGAATATTCAAGTAGCAATCAATAACCTTTAGTGAACAGCCTAAAGACCTGCAGCAAGAACACTGTAGCAATGTTTTTGATACAAAACCATAAATACCGACTTCCAAAGCAAAAAAGTGGGAAAGAAAAGGAAGGGAAAGGGAAAAAAGGGGAAAAAGGGGGGAAAAGGGAATAAAGGGGGAATAAAGGGAAAAAAGGGGGAATAAAGGGAAAAAAGGGGGAATAAAGGGGGAATAAAGGGAAAAAAGGGGGAATAAAGGGGGAATAAAGGGGGAATAAAGGGGGAATAAAGGGAAAAAAGGGGGAAAAAAAGGGGGAAAAAGGGGGAAAAAAGGGGGAAAAAAGGGGGAAAAAAGGGGGAAAAAAGGGGGAAAAAGGGGAAAAAGGGGGGAAAAAAGGGGGAAAAAAGGGGAAAAAGGGGGGGAAGGGGGGAAAAAAAGGGAGAAAGGGGGGAAAGGGGGGGGAAAGGGGGAAAGGGGGGAAAGGAGGGGGAAAGGAGGGGAAAGGGGGGAAAGGGGGGGAAAAAGGGGGAAAAAGGGGGAAAGGGGGGAAAGGGGGGGGAAAAATGGGGAAAGGGGGAAAGGGGGGGGAAAGGGGGGGGAAAAGGGGGAAAGGGGGGAAAAAGGGGGGGGAAAGGGGGGAAAAGGGGGGAAAACGGGGGAAAAACGGGGGGAAAACGGGGGAAAAAGGGGGAAAAAGGGGGAAAAAGGGGGAAAAAGGGGGAAAAAAGGGGGAAAAAGGGGGAAAAAGGGGGGAAAAGGGGGGAATAAAGGGGGGAAAAGGGGGAAAAGGGGGGAAAAAGGGGGGAAAAGGAGGAAAAAGGGGGAAAAAGGGGGAAAAAAAGGGGAAAAAAGGGGGAAAAAAGGGGGAAAAAGGGGGAAAAAGGGGGGAAAAAGGGGGAAAAAGGGGGGAAAAAGGGGGGAAAAAGGGGGGAAAAGGGGGGAAAAAGGGGGGAAAAAGGGGGAAAAAGGGGGGAAAAGGGGGGAAAAAGGGGGGAAAAGGGGGGAAAAGGGGAGGAAAAGGGGAGGAAAAGGGGGGAAAAGGGGGGAAAAGGGGGAAAAGGGGGGAAAAGGGGGAAAAGGGGGAAAAGGGGGGAAAAGGGGGAAAGGGGGGAAAAGGGGGAAAAGGGGGAAAAGGGGGAAAAGGGGGAAAAGGGGGGAAAAGGGGGAAAAGGGGGGGAAAAGGGGGAAAAAGGGGGAAAAAGGGGGGAAAAGGGGGAAAAGGGGGGAAAAAGGGGGAAAAAGGTGGCAGCACACTTAAA